CCTCCCTTCCTCCCTCGCTGCTATTTCTCCTGATTGGAAACAAATGACTCTTGTCTCAGGTTTCTGGGCTCTTTACGGGCTGTCAATCAGAGGGAACAGGCCGAGCCGCTTCCTCCTCGTGTCATTACCGCGGCAACAGAATCAGAGCTGTTTCCGTGTTATTTCGGCCACCGCTCGGAAAGGCCGTTTAAGTGTTATGCTGACACGTCGTGGGCTCCATGAACAACACACAGGCAGGCGGCACTGGGCGGTGAGTGACAGGGAGCGACAATGCAGGGATTTGTGTGGAAAAGTACTTAACCGAAGGATAATATTTGAAAAAGCAGTATGAGGTAATGTGAGAAACAACATTGGATTTATCCAGCAATATGTCATGGTTTTTCAACTAGCTTCGAGATAGATTTAAAGCTGAGGTAATTGAATTTCAAACTACCCAAAAAATTAACAATTTCTCTTCATACAAGTTGGTTCTATAGTTTTCACATGCATGTATTTTTATGGTGTCTGTCACTTGTTTTGATCAGCTATTTCTGACTAAAATTTCTGACAGTTAAAGAGAACAAGAGCAGAGTACCCTCTCTCAGCCAATCAGCTCTCAGCCTGAAGTGTCTAATAGTGACTAATGGGGCCCTTTCTTACAAGTCTGCAAAAGATTTTTTTTTTTAAATGTTCTCACAAGATGGGTCAAAACATCATATGGGTCAAACACATGATGGATCATTGATGGAAAAAAAAAGAAAGTCGGCTACCCCAGCTTAAAAACAACTTTTAAGGAATCTATTTGTGTTGATTGTCCTTATGTATTTTAAACAGATCGCAGGATGTATGAATCAAAGACCAACATTCATATAAAAACACTGTCAATACATATATGTTGATGAACCATTACCATCGCTATAGCACCAAACCCATGGTATTCCCTTCATAAATAGCTGAATCGTGGTAAGTCCTCATGCCTCTAGTATTTCCTATGACTCTGTGGAGCAGGTGCAGGGTTCGGCTCTCCTGGTATGAAAGCAATTAGTTTAATTGAAAGATCAGGCATTAGTGGGAGTTTAAAATGATTGTGGCCCATAGACAAACAGCGAAATGACAGACAGTATCGGATGACCACGTGGAGGATATTACGGCGGTTTCTGGACAAAGACCGGGCTGTTTGATAGGGGCACACCTGACCACGGACTGCAGCCCCGGCCATCTCCGTCTTACTGCTTCAATTAACTTCTTCCTGCGATTTCCTCGTCTCGGGCAGGCTAGCTCGCCGCCATACCTCGCCATGACAACTAAATGAGTGTTTGGTTATGAGCGATCTTGTGGAAGCGCTCCATTTCCCATGTGCTTTGGGCTAAACCACCATCGGAGCAGGTTTTGGAGGAGCACTCTGGCCTGAGCTGAAGTGAAGGCTTGTATTATCACGTCAGCGGCTGAACGGGCGTGTCCTCTGCTGGAGACAAGAACACACATGGTCTTCAGCGGGGCATTCATGGTTCTGAGTGAGCAGAGGGGCCTTCATGGTTCTGAGTGAGCAGAGGGGCATTCATGGTTCTGAGTGAGCAGAGGGGCATTCATGGTTCTGAGTGAGCAGAGGGGCATTCATGGTTCTGAGTGAGCAGAGGGGCATTCATGGTTCTGAGTGAGCAGAGGGGCATTCATGGTTCTGAGTGAGCAGAGGGGCATTCATGGTTCTGAGTGAGCAGAGGGGCATTCATGGTACTGAGTGAGCAGAGGGGCATTCATGGTACTATGGTGAAAAGTGATGAAGATGATTGTGCGAGAAACAAAGACATGTGCCATAAACTTTATTTATATTGCAACTTACATTTCCACAAAACCTCAAGAAATGTTCGGTCGACTAAAGATCCATCCTGTTGATAATTAGTATTAAGATCAAGACATTCTTTGTTGCGCTGTGGAGAAGTTAAAGTATTCAGTAATTCCATGCAAAAACAAGTATTTAGGCCTAAAATGATGTGATTTTTTATCTGACTTGAATATAAAAGTTTATGCTCATTTAATTTGCCATATTTGATATTTTTCCATATATACAAATCTTTACAAGATAAACGTCCCACTCTTCTATAAAAAGACAAAGCATGAAGATCATTGTTCCACTGAGGACACATGTTTATAAAACAATCTTTTCATAAACTGTATTTTCATACACAAACTCTTTCTTTTGATAGTATTCAGAATAATTGTTCCAAGATCTAATTGAAGGAATATATAAGCGTATTTGATCCTGAAATGGAAGCTTCTCATGATCATAGCTAAAAAGTAGCTAAAAAAATTGACAATGTCACTTTAAACTGTGCATGCTGCTGTGAAAAACTAAAATACAATCTTTCGCTGGATTATCATGCAAATTGATGCGAAAAATTGCATCAAAAATATTTTTCTCCTTCAAAATAAAATATTTGTATAAGTGCAATGAAAAAACACAAGTTGTTTTGTTCTGTGTTCCCAGTCTTCAAAAAAATTGGCCTTGTCTTGCATAATATATTTATACTAACTATATTAAAACAGTACATTCTGGTCTGATTTGTTTACAAAATGTTGCTTGGTAAAAGATAATTTCTGGACAGACTAAATGTATTGTTATTGGAGAAGGGGAAGAGGGATAATAAAAAAACATTGGTCCACAGCTCATCTTGTTATTAGTGTCATTCTTTAAACCAAACCCTTTCTGATCCATTGGCGCCGAGCTTCTGCCTCCTCATTGATCTGAGACATCAACAGTTGGTCCAATTCCCCCCGTGTGTGTTTCGTTATCCTGCCGTGACCTTTCCGCTGCCCTTTCCTCTGTCTGTGATCGTCTGATTATTGAAAAAACTGCAGCACATGGAAACAAACCTGACTCTGCAGCTGCGTATCTACAATCACCCTGATGAGCTCCCGCTGGAGACGCCGGGTCAGGGCTGCAGGACACAGGGGCTGATGGGAAATACAACTCACACCTCATGTATTACTCTGTGATGCTTGTTTGTGTATTATTTGTATGTTTGTGATTGTGAAGCGCTTTGTGATCCTGGTCTGTGAAAGGTGCCATACAAATAAACTTTACGTACTTATCTTTACTACAACTATCACTTTAACTGCTAGTTCTGAAATAGTAATATGTAAGATTTCAAGTCATCCTTAAATAGCCCTAATCTGTCAAAAGGCATTAATAAAAAAAAATCTTTAACGGATAACAGTAGAAGAGATATTTGGATTTCAAAATTTGTTTTACAGGCCCTAAATCTTGTTTTTGTTTTAATTTCAATCTCCCGCCCTCCACCATTTTACCAATCAGAAAGTCTGTGATCTGAGCACCAGAACTCACCGCGTCAAGCTAGTCTCGCTGGTAAAGTAACTTGTGGCCGCAGAACTAAAAAAGGTCTCGTTTTGATTCTCAAACAAGAAATACTAGGAGGATTTCTATCGGCGCGTTTGTGAAAAAGGTGTTGGTTATAGATTTGTTGTTGACAAAACTCTTTTCTATTCAGAGATTTTGGTCCCAGCTGGATTCGTCTGCATATCTGGCAACCTGAGCCAGGGAGAGTGGGGGAAGTTGCAGTACCACTTTTGGCCAGATTTTTACAAACTGCTCCTTTAAACTTCACATGTTGTGTTAATGTTCCACTTTGTCTTTGTTTTGTCTTTCTTGTCCGTCTGAATTATTCGACTTTGTTTTTGATCTGACTGTTTTATTGACTGTTTTAGTGCTTTTTGTTGACTGTGCAGTGGTTTATAAACACTGTATTTAAAAGTTCTATAGAAATAAAGATGTATTATTATTATTAACATGGATACACATCGATTTATTGTTCAGATGTGTCAGATTTTTTCTTTAAATTATATGTAAAAATGCATTGTAAAACTGCTCAAATTAACTACTACCACAAACATTTACAAAAAACAAAAACGTATTATTATTTCCCCCTATGTCATGGAGGCTCACTAATGTTTCACACTTTGGCACTAAAGCTTAAGAACCCATCTTTAAAACCACAAAAAATGTAACAATTGAAAACCATCTAAATAGTTTCACCTGTATCCATCTTTGGCTTCTGTCACAGATTTTTCAGACAGAAAAGTGACAAAGAGAAGACCATCTGCTCTCAGCCAATCAGCTTTCAGCCCAAAGCGTCAAACATTGCCTCACAGGGTTCTTTACTTTCTGTTTTGACGTAAATTATTTATTTTGCTTGAGGTGCCACTATTTTGCAACTTTTACTTACTTATAATAAAACGTATTGCTTTAGAAACCTGATATTATCACAGTAGAGTTTGGATGTTATTAATCAAATATGAAAACATATTAAATAAAACAATTATCTTGCCCAATCATCACATTTATCCAGGTTTTATAATTGAACAATAATAATGTTTTTTTCTTGGATGAAAAAACATGGATGAATATCTGGCAACCTAAGTTTGATATATAATAATGTTGTTTTACCCAACAGAAAGAACAACATGTCATTCTTTATGGCTGTAAGAATGAGCCCTGTACTACTCACTATTGGACGCTTCGTGCTGAGAGCTGATTGGCTGAGAGAGGGGGGTCCTCTCTTTTACTCTTTTCAGTCTGAAAAAGCTGATCTAAAGACGTGACTGAGATTAAAACAACATGCATGTGAAAACAAGGGATAGGATTAAACCTTTTACATAGTTCCATTGTTTGCTGCGTTATTTCAGGTACCCCAGCTTTAGATAACGTTTTGAATACTCCACATGCATAAAATCAAATACTGAATGATAGAGAAGACTGCAGATTATAGAACAGTTTAATGGGCACATACGGTCAATGCATATCGTCATATCAATATTAAATCATCACATACCTGCTCTTGGAATTATCAGATGACACGAAGCGAAAAAAGAACCTATGTCCGAAGCTAAACGTACATACACTTTGGAGGAAAACAATGAGGTCAAGATCCTACTTTGCTTTAGTCCCTCGTGATGGTAAATCCAACACTATAGTCCCAAATCATGTAGTCCAAGGGGTCCCAGTGTCAGAGGCAGTGATTGGACGCCGGTGGCCATTTTGTCTGGACATTGTTCGTGGCTTCGTCTTCCAGCTTTTGTCGTGAAATAGGAGGTGGGGTCAGGCTCATGGGAAAGCTGTATCTGTACAAGCAGTAAGTCCCAAAGGCGTCGGGGAGGTGCAGAGAAGAGCCCTGCGACGTGAAATGATTGGAAAATGGAAGAATGTACGGCGCGCTTAAGTCTCTGTGTTTCTTCCCGTGCAGCATCGACAGCAAAGGCAGGTCGGAGAGAGAGGGGGGGAAGACTCGGTCCGGTCCATGCAGGTTGGAGAACGATCGGAGGGGTAGTGGCGAGGCCGGGGAGCACAGAGAACCGCCTGGGCTGCTTTTAGTGCAGGGGTACAGCTGGGGGAGAGAGGTGTCCCGACCGGAGAGGGGCAACAGGGAGAAGGGCTTCAGAGGAGAGGGAGCTGAGAACGGCAGGAGAGACTTCAGAGGAGAGAGGTCGCTGGACATGGGACCTGCAGAGAGAAAAATGTAGTGTCAGGCATCACAACATGAATAGATCACATTATGCATGATTATTGTAACATTTTGTGAGAAAATCAGACCACATGCTTTCTACATCTGTTAAAAACCATATTTTAATTACATACAACCCCTTTAGATTGGTCCTTAACACGCTAAGCATTCATTTGTCTATTTCTATTCCATTGTGTTTTGTTTTTTGTTTTTTTTTCAGCAGAAAGAAAGAATGGGAATGCTTTGTATTTATCTGTCTCCATGGAAACAAGCCTAATGTCATGTCAAAGTTGACTCACAAAACTGCCCGTTTTTCTTGGCATTTTTCCCTTATACACTCTCAAAATTGGAATAAAAAAGTTTGATAATGCATTTGATTTGGTGCAGTAAGTGGAATACTGCATTTTAGGTGAAGCAATAACATCTCATTGGTTGCCATGAAAATATAATATAAATAAGAAAAGACTTTTACCATAATTTATTCAATTGGACTCTTTTTTTGTTCATATGTTCCACCAAAACATGTGCGGGGAATATGACTTTTTTTTTTACAGTTTACAGTTTTAAATGTATATAAAATGCAAACAGAATTAGCTTTTTGTCCCCACATGTAGAGCACCTCACCTTGGAGCGTCATGGAGAACGGCTTCAGGTCCAGACTGAGTGGTCCTCTCCAGGGATAGGACTCCAGCAGACCATCCAGAACTCCCCTGATCCACACAAGAGCAGAGTCACACACACACACACACACACACACACACACACACAAATCTACCTGCGAATATTATTACCCCAGTCTAAATATTGGTTCTGAGAGGTGCGAAACTCAGCCCAGCTCTGTCCCGCCGCACTTAAACTTTTTATTTGGCATCCAGTTTCAACGGTTTCAACTCAAACCTTTTACGGGGTCATTTCTCTCCAGTGTGTGTGTTTTTTTTTTGCAGTACCTGTTTCTCCCTGGGTCCCTGAAGCCTTTGGCGAAGGGGTTCCTGTCGATCTTCAGCTTGGTGATCTGCGGGGAAAACACAACGGGGGTTACGATCGGGACGAGTGACGTGCTTAAGGCAACAATGAGCTCAACTTTATGACAGAGAGAAGAGTGGCAGAGCAGCTCTACGGGGACCGCCAGTTACAGCCAGCACCCGGGGCCGGCCGCCATGTCAAACAGGATTCTGGGGGAAAAAGCTTTGGGTCATTCGGTTTTATTTGGTGTTTTAATAGCTGTGGAGTGTAGCGGGCTATTATTGAGTTTCTGTAATAATACATGTGCTGATTGTAAAGTGACGCCTGATGAAAAGAGCTGGCAGCCCCGGCACTGACTCAAGTAATATTAGCCAACGGAAAGGTCAGAGCAACCGTTCAACGTCTTGAACCAGAAAATCAACCCAAACCTGAGTGAGAGTGTGTTCTCAGCAATAAAAGAGTGCTTGCTGCTTGCACTGGGCTTTGGTACTACACTTGTTAATACACTTTACCGTGGGTTGTTTGTGAAATGTTACAAAAATCAAAAGTCAGTGCAAGAAATTACAGTGAAAATGGTTATTATTTCTGTTATTCTGGTGAAATTCTCTGCTAAAGTACTATACCAACCATAGTAAATACTTCATGACTGCTGCTTATATACAGATGTAAACATACTGCTGCCAATGCACAGATGTAAACATACTGCTGCTAACATGTACAGATGTAAACATACTGCTGCTAACATGTACAGATGTAATCGTACTGCTGCTAACATGTACGGATGTAATCATACTGCTGCTAACATGTACAGATTTAAACATACTGCTGCTAACATGTACGGATGTAATCATACTGCTGCTAACATGTACAGATTTAAACATACAGCTGCTATTGTACAGATGTAAACGTACTGCTGCTAACATGTACAGATGTAAACATACTGCTGCTAACATGTACGGATGTAATCATACTGCTGCTAACATGTACAGATTTAAACATACAGCTGCTATTGTACAGATGTAAACGTACTGCTGCTAATGTACAGATGTAAACATACTGCTGCTAATGTACAGATGTAAACATATAACTACACTTTGCTTGCACTAGAATACACAGTACTTTATACTTTCCTCTTATTTTGCCAAATGTAAAAATTGCATACTTCATAATTTTATTATGTTCAAAACAGAGATTTTACACTTGTTCTTTGATGCTAGAGTTTGATATTTTGTTTTATTTAAATTAGTATAGCTATTGTTCACATATTTTGTGCTGTGTGCTCCTCTCCATCTCTTAATCTTAATCTTAATCTCAACTATAATGTATGCTCCAAGTGATTTCCTCTTGAACCAAGTGCAATTATAGCTTCAGAGTCTTATTTTATAATCTTATTATTGTATTGTATTATCTATTATCTTAAATAATAGGACCTGTTTGATGTGAGCATTACCTGAGTGCTCTTATGTCTCTTTTTTTCTGCTGTAATGTGCACAACTTTGACACTGAGGGTAAAAATAAAGGTTTATCTAAAAAATGTTTTAGGTTTCAATCCCACAATCAAATATAAATTACTTTGAGATCATTCTTTTGGGGAATTGAATAGTTTGGATCATGTACAGGCCTTGAACAGTGTACGTAAGTAGTTATTTATATAGCGCCTTTCACAGACCAGAGTCACAAAGCGTTTTACAATTGTTATTTTTGGGCATTTGTCCGTCACTCCACACAGAGATGGGAGCGGGGCCAGGACAGGCGGTGCATGCCAGACCTATTGTACATGTTTTTAGTGTATAGGGGAAACCGGAGCACCTGGAGGAAACCTACGCAGACACGGGGAGAACATGCAAACTCCACTCAGAAAGGTCCTGTTCCGACCTGGATTCGAACCCAGGACCTTCTTGCTGAGAAGCGAAAGTGCTATCAACTCAGCCATCGTGCCGCCCAGTATGCACACGGGTAACATGATGCTGCTGGAGACACATTCATTACAAATACTTGCAAGTTTCTGATTTGAATTTGTTTTGGGGTTTTTTCTCATGCAATATTTAGAATGATAAAATACATTCTCACCCAGTTATTTGATTCTTAAACTGCAAATAAAAAAGCATACAAGTAATTCCACAGTGAGAGAGGGGCGGGGCTCACCTGTTGGTTCTGGTAGGCGGTGACGGTGGTGAACTCGGTCTCGCTGAAGCAGAAGCTGTGGACTCCCTCCGCGGGCACGGACTGGATCTGGGACAGGTCCACACGAGGGTCCTGACGGATGATGTGCACTCGGGGCTTGTACTTGTGCATGGACTGCAAGATAATCTGTGGGAAGCACGACGTTAGCAACATAATACCATGAGCTCAAATCTGTTTCTGTTATAGGTTATGTTATGTCAGGCAAGTTGAAATAAAAGTACTTTCATATATAATTTTTTACAAATATCAATTAAATCAGTTAGTAACTCAATATCAGTCAATAAAGTCATTTTTATTTGAATAGAATTTGCCTTTCCACTCCTCTGTGATAGAATGTTAGACTTTGTGATGTTCAAAACCCCTGAAGCTGCTCGGACCACATCTGTCACATCTACTCATCACTGAATCTTGGGAAGTTCAGACCAAACCATGGATTTACCACTTCCTGATCCTGGATTAGAACCTTCTGACATTGTTGAAAATTATAGGATTAAAAGTCCTTACTAAGTCCTTATTGTGCACCAAATCATAAATTTGCTGTTAATCTCTTGGAATATAAATAATTATGAATGGATATGTGACCCTCGTCCAAGTTTCACTATAGCAGCTGCCACTTTAAAGCCGGGGTATTTTGGTTTCATAAATAATTCAATGTGTTTGTAAAAGAAAGAGTCTTGTTTAACGTAAAATATTGTGAACAAATCAGACCCCATCATGTTGTCACATGATGATTCACTTCACAGAAAACACCTTGTGGCTCATTAGTTGTTGCAGGCTGGGAGCAGGTGAAGGTGGTTAGATTTTCACATTTCAGTCTAAAAAAGTTCAAATTAAAGATGTGGCCAAACATTCATGAGTCGAATTGTTTAGAGAGCGAAACACTGATACGTGGATTTTATCACAAATTTTCATTTTTTGTGATTTGAAAGTTAGGCACCCCAGCTTTAATAACCCAAGCCATTAATTCATGTGTGTATGTATTTCTATATTGAAGAAGCCTTGTTTTGCGAAAACCTTCAACTTATGATTATATATTTGAAATGTATGAACACATCTGCTGCATGGTAATTCTACAGTAAATTGAAATCCCAAGTTATTCCCTGAAGTTCTTTTCCAACCACTTTTTGACATTTGAGCAAAGAACCAATACGAATAATGACAACATATGTGCCAAGTCATAAATCCAAGATGGAATATGTTTTAATGGATTTTATGTATTTTTATTGTGAATTACTTTGGTCGCCTTGAGTGTTGTAAAGGCCTCTATATACATCTGAAAAAATGATTGATTGATTGAAAAAACAATCACCACGTACATGTCCCTTGTCGTCCATCTCGTTGTTGGTGAGTTTCACGCGGTCAAAGCTGATGACTTGCCGCATCCACGTCTCCCCCGCGCATGGTGAGTCTGGGTGCACGTAGAGGCGCGGGGAGATGCACGAGTGGTCCGTGTTTCCAGCCACCATCCACTGCGAGCTGTGGTACACGTATCTGCAGACACAGACGGTCACCAGAATAACCCCAAATGTCAATCCATCCATCATTTACGTGTAGGCCATTTAAAGTGCTTCACAAGAGCAATTTAAAACACATTTCAAAATGCATAGAAAGTCAATAAAATATACAATAATTTTATATCAAAACTGAGCAGCATAAAAGTATGGGGTTTAAACATAGACTGTAATTAAAATGGGTTTAAAAAAGGAGATCAAAGCAGTAAAAATATATAACAAAATAGAATCAGTTGTAAAGTTTCTCATCAAACTCATGCAGACGTGAGTTTTACCTCTGAGTTGACTGCTTTTTGTGATTTAGGGCTGTACAAGAATACATTGTATTGTAATTGTGCATTGTATACCTGTAGCGTTTGGAGTCCACGGGCATGACGTCCATCGCCACGTAGTACTGCTGGCACGGGTCCAGGTTGCGCACTTTTACGCGCACAGAAGGAAACATTCTTCTGTTGAGAGAAAATGATTTAGAGCCACGCTTCACGTATTTACAGCGATATTGAATACGCAAAAATAAAAATATAACCAGCGCGTTTTACAATGTTGTTCTTTTCCTTGTGGGTCATTTGCGCAGCCCGAGGAAAACTTTCACTGCGCCCCTGGGGCCGGGGGGGGGGGGGGGGGGGGGGGGGGATCCTGGGTTTCAGCAAGTATTTAACCGCTGATAAAGTTATTCAAGAGGAAAATATGTCTGCATCACTCTGATCACAAACACCAAGCAGTAGTCGTTTATATCTCTATATACTGTGCGTAAAACCTTCATTGTTGCATATTTGAGAAGTGCCCATAAAAATTAAAAACACGATCTTGTGCGTTTTTATGTCTTGTGTTTAAAACTGCTTTCACTTCAAAACAGATTCAGGGATGTTCTTTTTGAGTTAGACTTGAGTAATAGGCCTATATATACGCTTACATGAATACATTAATGAAAGTTTTCCTAGATCTCTGCTTTGTTCTTTTAACTCAATAAATATGTATTCATTAAGTATCCCATAAGGAGGTTAGTACATCTGTATTTATTTAACTATTTGTCCGGATCAGAATTACACAAAGCTCTTATACTGAAGAAGACCAAAGACCTATTAGAGTTTAATTGTATTTCACTATAGGTCAAGCGTAAAACCAACCACAAAAATACAATACAGTTTTAATCCTAGCACGTTGTCCACATAAATTATCGATAATCTTGAATTGCATGTTATTTTGATGTTTAACCTTTTGTGATTTTCATGTTTAACCTTTTGTGATGTTGGTTTTTGAACTTTGATGAATAGTTTATATGCAAAAAAATTGCCATGAAACATATCGGAAAAACTTACAATTTCTATTTTTTCCCAAGTAGTTTTGTGAAAAGCCATCTTATAGTGCCATAAAAATAGTTTCACCCCTTCTTGCTCAAATTCTTTCAACTTGTACTGCCATTAACAGAACATGAAGATTTTAACCAGAGGAATACAATATTAGGACAACATTTCACAACGGATATATCTGTTTTTTGCATTTATGAACTCTACAAATACAGATCGATTGTTTCATTGTTTAATTATATAAATAAACTTCTGCTCCCTGACGCATCACGCATGTCTGTTTGAGAGCGTCCCGCGGCTCGTAAATACCTGCCCGCTTTGGTGATGATCATCTCGGTGCCGATCTCGTAGAAGCGCCTCCACAGCTCGGACCCCTGCAGCTCCACGCGCACCTCTGTGTCTCCCTGCACGCGCTCCACCTCCGGCCCGGGCTCGTGCCTGTGTGCCCCTGCTCCATCCGGGTCACAGCACTCAGTCTGGACCCGCGGAGAGGCTGCAGAGGCCCGCAGCATGAGTGCACCACGCACCGGGGACGTATCCAGGCCTAAAGAGACAAGGGTCAGGAGGAGGGATGGTTCAAACTATAAGTGATGGAATTACGTGATAAATAATGTCTGGAATTGATCTATATGATGTTGAATTTGAATAATATAGGATATGAATGGTCCAATTTGGGATAGGAGCGTGTCTTAAAATAAAGAAAAACATAGCCTCAATTTAATGAACAAGACTCAGTAATATTCAAATGCCTAATTTGAAGTCACTAATTCTGACAAACAAAATCCAGTTAGATTAATAAGAAGTGACCCCTATAGGCCTACAATAAATAAACACATTTGGGAACGTGTAACAAATGGATGCTTATTCAATTCAAAATTAATACAAATTATTTTAATAACAGAATCACAGCAGTATGGGCCTACACAACACTTATCTGTGTGTGTAAATATTGTTTGTGTAAAATTGTGCATGGGGTTTCAAACTACTGCATTTATTTTACTCTTCCCAGTTTGTTAAGAATGAGCTCTCTTTCCTTCTTTTTGTGTATAGGCTTCATGGATATATTGGCTATCAAACATCCTGATTTATGATTGAATGGATAAAGTAATCGGGAATGAAGTTTTAGTTTTGCTGTGCGTAAAATGCCCTCTTCTTGTGCGTAAATGTGTTGGCATTCTCACCGGTGCTCAGGAGGCTGGAGTCACTGCCCGTGTCTTCAGTTGAACTTGACTCCTGTTCATCCAGTTTAATCCTCTTACAGGGCTTTCCCATCAGCGCCTCCACGGAGAAAGCGTGCGCACGAGAGCTCAGGCCCTGCATCCTCTCTCGCGTCCACAGACCCCAGAATATCTCCCCTTTTCCCTCGCTCTTCTTTGTGCTCTTTTTGCTCGGATCAGACTGGTCCCTGCAGGACGCATCCACAGATATAACTCCGTGCGTAATAGCGCGGATACCCCTCTGCCGCTCGCCAGACTCGGTCACCCAGAGCGCACGGAGTTGGCACGCCTCTCTGGGCCTGTGTCTGTGCGCGTCTCGCCTGTATAGTTTGATTCTGGCTGCGCGTCATGGAGAGGGAGGGCAGAGCGCATTCCTCCAAGGGCACAAAAAGACCCAGACCCACGCAAGCCACTGATGTGTTGTGTAAACTATAAAGAACACGGGCAGTCGTCTGATCGATAATTTTCAGAAACAAAGACTTTTACTAAAGTTGAGTAATCCGTTTTAAGAAGTTCCAAACATGAAAGCCTGGAATTATTATCAAAAATATAACGTGAAACTGGCATTTAAAAGTGCAGGTACTTAACACTCATTTTCATACTCAAGTTTGTCTCATGAAGAGCTTTAAAAAGTGAAAGATTAGTGAAAAGTAAGACGATTTGTTGAAAAATCAGACCAAAACCTCTTGTCATAAAACATGTATTCTCTAAGAAAGCCCCTCGAGTCCCTATTTGACACTTTGGGCTGAGGTTGGTTCTCTCTTATTAACATGAGTATTGTGACTCTGTTGGCAAAAGCAAGTTTTGTCAATATTTCACATTGGGTCATTGTGAGTTGGGTCATTTTGTGTTTGATTTGTTCTTGTTTCACACATTTTTCTCTTCCTTCCACATGTTTAACAGTGTCTGAATATAACGGAAAGATTGCCAGCTATAACTTTAAAGACATAAGCCAAACAAGCTTATTGCATTTGTTCAATTTCTTTTCTTGTTCTATATTTATTTTAAAATATACCATTCAGAAGCTGCACATCACATGACTGCTTATAATTGATTGACAGATATACATTACAAACGCAAACACATATTTATTCCAGATTGGAGATTGTAGCCACGTACAAACATTTTCAGATACAGAAATATGGTATATTTGTGGCAATGTAATCCCGACACCATGGAAACCGTCATTCCAGATAAGAAAAATAACTAAAATGAATACAAAAAACCTTCTATGTATTCTTAATTTATGGGTTACAACACAAACTTACATAAAGCAAATCATACATATATTGTTTGAAATAATAACTGCCGGATGAGTAGGCATCTGTGTCCAGTTTGACTTTTGCCTGTAGCCTGTGCTTTGCTATTCACCCACTGTCCCTCTGCCTGTTTCATGGAGGCAGCGCTGATGATGAGACCTGAAACCCTGGACTCCTCTGGACCTGTGCACTGGTCTCATGTCTGCCGTCGAAGAGCAGTTCCGTCACACCCTCTGAGACGACTTTTGTTGTGATTTTGGGCGAAACAAAATCAAAGTTATTTGAAAAACATGTAAGAGGGACTTCATCTATTTTCTTCCGCTTTATCCATTGCTCGTGGAGGCAGCCGTCAGAGTTGAGAGTTAGATGTCCCTCCCTCCCATGGTGTGACATATATTATTCTTAATGGTATAATTTCAGTATTTATTTTCTATTTTTATTGTTTACCACCTCCGTTTACTTGCAAGACCCACCTCAAAGTTTAGCATGATATCCAAACTGTAAAGTCCGGACCAGCATGAATCATTTGACAAGTATTTTCCCTTACAACTTAATTCGATTTCCCAAATAAAACACTCTCAAATGACATAAAAAGTCAAATTGGCCCAACACACAATTAAGATGAGGCGATAAGCACATTTAGACCATGAATGTACACAGACATATTTTGAGTCCTTCTCGGTTTGTGCTCAGGAAGCTGTCAAATTGACCTCTGTGGGGTTTTTTGCATGTGTTTTGCTCTTTTTGGACCGGCCGCAGATAAATACAGAACCCATTTTCGGAGCAGTGGGAGCAGAGGGGAGGCCCAAATATTTAAGTTTGTTAACACAGAACATGTGCAATTCAGACTCTTCCGAGCGCCGCTTGTGTTGAAACCTTACATTTCCTATATTAATTTGAAAGCTTCCCAGTTACCTCTCTCTCTCTCCCTCTTCTCCTCCCTATACTGTCTGTTTCTCATAAGCACTCACATCAAAAAACATAAGCCGGCCCGTAATGACAGCTAGGGATTATTACATTACCCCTCGACATGAAATAGATCCGTTTTACACAAATAAAAGATGTATTTAAAACATATTTGATCACACTGGATAATTGGTCAGAGGGGGAAACAAATGAGCTTGCGTGTTTATGCGATGGTCGGTTTGGTCGCTGATGGAAATCTCGGCAAAGCGGCGGTAAGTGGAGAAGTATGACCAAAAGGACTCACATGTTGCCTGTCGTCAGGAGGAGCAAGAAGAGATTTATGTTTATGCTAAAGACTAAACTCTGCTTGTCTTTAACTCAGGGAAACGGCGAGGAAGAGGACGTTCAACCAGAAGAAAGTCGGACAAAACCAGGATGACAGGATGAAGAACTGTGTCTTTTACTCATACATGCATTAGTGACATGTTAGTCCCATATGAACCAGCCCGGACTCTGAGGAGCACAGGGACTGGACTCCTGTTAGTGCCCAGAGTCAGAACTAAACATGAGGAGGCTGCATTTCAGATTCATGCTGCTGAAATCTTCATGAAAGTGGGAGACAGGCCTCCTCTCTGACAATGTTTAAAACCAGGTTAATGACAGTTCTGTTTAGCTGTACATACAAATGAGGGATTTTATATTTTTATCTTTTTAATGTACTGTGATTATTTATGATTTGAATGCTTTTGTTCAGCACTTTGAGTTGCCTTGTGTATGAAATTGGGCTATAAAAATAAACTTGCCTTGCCTCATGACTTTGAATTGGAGTCAAACTTGGGAGTTTAAGATGATGTTTGTCACTTATTTTCTATTTCATGTTTAAAATAATGCATATTTATTACTGTATGACCATGTAGTGTCATGTAAAGTAAGTATATGTATATATTCTCTTCGTCCATACTTTATACTTACTTCTTATTGTGCTAATGTCGGAGATTTTATACTTAATTCTTGCTTCTTCATAGTGCTAAAATTTGCGATTCTAGATTTGCTTCCTTTTTATGCTAAAGCTAGAACTTGTATTTTGTTGTAGTTTAGAGTTATTATTCATTAATCTTGTGCTGTGTGCTCCTCATTCATACTCTGCCTGTAACTTGGGATGCAACATTGAAATTTCCCCACTTAATCTCTCACTATGTTCACTGTTGCCCATGACGACCGTTTTATTACGACTGCAAAGATGGCATTTCTGTTTTGCGTAAAAGTGTAGCTCTCCAAACGAAATGCTTTGAAAACCTCTGATGTAGTATCATGTCAATTATTTTTTCAAAGCAATAGACAGTCCCACTCCCTGGCATTACCACAACCAATCAGATTTTCTGGAGGGGAATAGTTGGACCAATGGCAAGTGGCGTTGTCTGTGTATCAAAGATTTATATGTATTCCGTCCAATCAGTTGCAGACCAGTGCCATAAGACTCCCAGGACTATTCCTTGAAAAATAGGTTCTTAATCTCAATGGAAAAGCCTGGACTTGGAGCTTTCATGATGGGCAGTTTAAAAGTCCATTTCCCAAAACGTCACAAAATGCGAGTAGCCAAACAACAGTACTCAGCATTTGTGGTGAGGTGTGTGATCCAACATGAAGACACCTCCACCACAGTCTCAGTGACAGATGACTTTGTCTATAAATCACTCTGGAGCGTTTGAGGTTCTGGGAAATACAGAGAGTGTTGAGGTTGAAGAGGCTAAAGTTTGGAGTTCAGATGCGAGTTTTTATCACCTGAGGCCTGTGACGTCCAGCTCATGCACTTTGAATCTGTCGTCAACAATCTGCTTCTGATCCACAAATGATCTGATTTACTTTGTGGTAATCAGTGGTAACAATACAATACAATTTATTCTTGTATAGCCCTAGATCAAAACAGAAGTCATCTCAGAGACTTAACAAAACCATTGAAATCACCAACACAGGTCAGAGAATCAACAGTTAAAACACATGAAAAATGTAAATGCTAAAATGTCCTGATCATCACCAATCCTTTCTGTTGGACACAACTGTCCAACAAGACCCTCCTGCATCGACAAGGAAAAACTCATAAAAAAAAAACCAGTGGGAAAAAGTGAGAAACCTTGGGGAGAACTAGGGAAACCCACAGGGAGGGAGACCCATATGAGAAAGGGATCCGCTCCTCCGGACGGACAGGCTAATGATCTGGGACCTAAGCTAGCTACAGGACGTGGACCAGTGGCCGCTGAACGTGGACAGGTCCGGTGCAGGACTGAAGCACTCCCAGGCGGGTCGGGCGGGGCAGTCCGCAGGTGTAGATGGAGGAGGCCAGGCTCAGAGATCCCGTCATTGTACCATGAAACAGACAATGGGACAACGGGTGAATAGCAATGAACAAACTACAGTCAAAATCCTAATAATGCTAAACAGATAAAGTAGGACGGAGGAGAGGATAGTGCTCAAGTTACCATACTTCTCCCAGCAAACTGACTCCCTATGCAGCTTGACTGACAGTCTGAGGAGTTTAGCCTTCCCTGAGTCTTACCTTCCTAGCCATATGCTAAACTAAAGAGGACTGTTTTAAGCCTAGCCTTGAATAAAGAGAGCGTGGTAAAGTGCTATGTTTTGCTGAATGGAGTTTTTCTGCACTTTGGCTTTACTCATGTATCGCCATAGAGACAAGCAGATGGCAAAAGTAAAAGTTTTAGGTAAAAGTACAGACATTTCAATACAAATATTTTGTATGTAGGAGGATTTTTTTTCTTATTAAATCAAATTATAAGTCTATGACAACAATTCAAAAACATGGTGGGTGTAAATATTTTTTTATTGGGACTAACTGTAAAAAATTACACGAGTACCTTTAAGTAAAAGTAAATAGGTATAATCTTTAATTTGTGCTTAAGTGAAAACGTATAAAGCTTGTTGTTGAATATTTACAATAACAGACAATTTGTTACATCATTTATCAAGTGTATCATACTGACAAAGCTGTAATCTCAACTTAGAAGCATGGCTAATCACAATTGATTAATTAAGTTAGATACCAGGAAATCTACTTAAGTAAAACACCTCTGGAGGACACATCACCCCATCATCCCAAATGTTTGTAATTTCTCCTTTAATATTTTGATTGGGTTATATAATATGTCATACATTATCAACATTCATTTTTTTGTTAGTTTTTTATTGAAGAGA